ACTTCTACAATACCAAATATAGCATATAGGTGATATGTATCATTATTGGATAGTAAATTTTGATGTTCAAGTTTGTATTGAACTAATGTATTAATCTTTCTTTTTGTACCATTATAAGGAAACCGTTTCAATTGAATAATAAGAGCATGAGGTAATGGTTGAGTGATCGTCGTTTTATGTTGTGCTGATGGACATTTTTTACATTTGTGACAATAGTATTGTCCATCTAATTCGTACTCTTGACAAAAATCTTTGATAAGATCTTCTAATAACACATGTTTTCGATTATCAAACTTGAATTCAGGAATGGGAGGTAAAAGAAATGTTGTTGTTTCATCAGTGATATCAGAATATTGGTATTCGTTGCAAGTTGCCATTGGTTGTGTATGAATTCGAAATAGCTTAGTTATGAATGAATTTGAATCAGCCGTTTGTATAGCATTAAGAAGAGTATTCATGAATTCATGAGAATCTTTTTGGCCAAAGTCATAAAATTGGCTTGATGAACGACTAATACATTGTTTTAATGGATAAGGAACGATACATTTATGTTCACCTGACCACATTGATTGTACTAAAGAAATATAAGCATCGATTATATTCATGTGAGATGATGATGGTTGTTGTTACATAATCCATACGATCAGAACTGGTATACTGTTTAGACATTGAATAGCACTATTCATATAGCAAGTATTGCCGATGTTGTTTAGACCACAAACACCTGGAATATGATGTTTTGGTAGAAGATCTGAATCGTTTGTCGATATTTTTTTATGATTTGTGCTAGTAGACGATGAAGAACGTCGTATAGATGGTAATATTGGTTTTGATGGCAAATGTGAAGATGAATTCGAATGTGATTCTTTCGATTGGGAAGAATTGATTTGATTAAGCAGATCATCTTCAGTGACTGTCGTCGATTCAGAAGTAGGTTTGAGTGCGATCGAATGAGAAATCTCTTCAATACGTTCTGTAAAAAAGTTTCTTTATAAAACAATTCTAACTGAAATGAGAATTCTTGTACAAATATGAACCACTCCGATTTTAGAGATGTACAGCATGGAGTAAAGACATGCATGCTACACTGTACTGAGCGATAAATGTTTAAATATTATTCCAAGGATACATGATAAGAAAAAATTTTTCTATACTCATCTTTACTGTGATACTGTATCACTTTTATCACTTTTTGAATGTTCTAACTATAGTAATACTAAGAGAGCGTGAGATAAACATTCTGTAAGATACAGTAGCTCTACGTTTATTTTCTTTATTAAAATTGCCCTAATACTTCTATATAGAAAATATTCAGGTAGATTTTGTCAAGCTGTGCATGAGTATCCACTTATTGGAAAGTTCCTTGCTTTTGATTGGCTGTTGAAATTTTGTTAATGATTCGGATGTTTCATTATTTTTGTACGATGAGCTTCTTGTCTGATAAAGCACCGTTTCATCTATCTGACTTGTCTTTATACTAAATGGTTTTGTCGAAAATTTTTTGGTTGTGAATGTTTGAGTTGATGTTCGTTAACAAGTGTGAAATTCTTTTGTTTTCTCTGTTGCTCTTTTTGTTTCATTCCACAAAAACAATTCATCTAAAAAAGCCTATTATCAAATAAAAGAAGAAGAACATATATTGAAATAGATCTTGTTTATTAGATCAAATTAATAATATCTAAAATAAATTACAACATATTTTTTGTTGATAATGAATATAAAAAGTATTATTGTTCATGGCAGAGACGTGGAAATATGTGAAATGTTTGTTGTGCTACAGCACCACATGGTTGATTATATGCTGATTTGAAATCACGCTTACATTCTTCTTCCGTTTTAAGACAAATAAAACAGAATTTATGACCACATTTACATACATGATATTTATATTTTGAATCATAAGAACCACATTCAAAACATTTTGGATAACATCGACGATTTGCTACTTTCATTGCAGTATTATATGCAAGTGAAACTAATTGATAAGTGATTTTGGTTTCCCAAAAACAATTGACCTTGCATGTATATTTTTCATTACGCATTTTTTTTACTGTTTCATCCCAATCAGAATTACAGAAAAAACATAACCATCGTTGGCAATTGTTACATTTTTGTTTTGCATACATCGTACTATTGATAGACAATGCACCACAAGTACATATTTGAAAATCAATATTTCGAGCCATTAATGTGGTTTCATCCAGCTGAACGAGTGATTGTATAAACTGTGGAGTCACAAAAACTTTGTCTGGTGATACAGTTTTATTACAAGTAAGGCAAATGATTTTATAATCATAATTGGCAAAATAGTTAGGAAAACATTCTTTGCAGATGATTGAGCTGCAGCAAAATTTAATGCACATTTTTTCTTCAGTACAAATCATACATTCTGAATTTGTTTGTTGTGTTGGAATTTTACGTAATTCATCTTGAAGATCAACGAGAATCGTTGCCTTGTGTGAATCGATATCAACTAGACCTGAACCACCATCCATTCGTTGGCAAACGTAAATGGTTGTACCAATTCTTAATAGACTTTTTTCAATTCAGCAAATTTGACTAGA